TAAAATCAACGACATTTATTTTAAGTCGTTGTGATTTACGTAATTTTAAACAAAATACGAAGAGAAAATTAAATTAAGTAAAAATAAATGAACAATGCGTAGCAGTTATATACTCGTACACGCTCAAAGGATGATAAGGTTTGAAATTCCTAATGTAAAGATGGAAGGTGTGAAATTTCAAAAATAACGGTTTTAGTTGGGGAATAATTATCTTTTTACAACAAAGCAAAGGCTACAGAATTACGAATAAATATAGTTTTGCAATTGTAGTCTTTAAAGTTCGAGGTACTTGAATACATGAAACTTTAAAAATATTAATGCCATTGATATACAATATACCAGAGAGGGTATGTTAAAGATACAGATATAGATCGTTAAATGCAGATACCTTCCGTTCATCAAAGAGAATTATGTCAAGTTAAAATAACATACTTAATGATGGATTCGATCACAAGGTGAACAATAGTTGGTTTCCCTTTGAGCGAGGAGCTATAAATGGAGCTTACACTTCAACTATATCATTCATTTTCTTCTGTAATTTGGTAACGTAAGATACTGACAGGACAGTACATTGAATATTTATCTGATATTTTGCGTTCTTTTTTGATGAAATCAATGACAGCAGACTTCCACACATTAAGAAAATAACTTTAATAAAATGACAGTGAGAAACAAAAAGGAAGGCGAATGTGTCAGAGAAGCGAAGGATTGAAGTCGATTTTAGCAATGTCTTCATCCCTTTTCATAATAATTTCAAATTATTTAACAATGACTATAATATACAGTTAGTAAGACTTTTTTCTTGTTAGCGTAAAGCTACAGAATGGGCTATCGGGATTATGTCAACCGTAGGGATTGAACCCCAGATTTTAGTTTTGTAAACTTACCGTTGACCCACTGGGATACTAGTATGACAACCAATAACATTAACAGAAAAAGGGGCTTAAAGACATAAGGACGAGAGTTTAAAAAAGTATAGTTACGTCATTATTCAAAGTATTAATAAACTGTTCAAACGAAATATAATTCGACGGTGATTTTGTTTCTGTTATTAAGAATAGCAAAGACAATAATCTTCAGACCAGCACCAATAGCATTTGTGTTGTCACTGCTGAGTCTAGATCTATGCCTAAGAGGAATTAGAATTCATAAAACTTTTAAATGTTTTTACCGAAAAGCTATCGCAAACAGCAGACTAGCTGTTTTTTACTTAACAGCTAGTTAGAATTTGTCAGCATATAGTAAAGACTACAGGATTAATATAAAATTCTGAAAAACCGCTGCAGGAAAGTATATCAATTAAAAAAAAAAAGCTGCGTTATTACTCCTCTTAAAGCATAAATGTCAGGCGCAAGTTGTCAAATGGCGCGTCTACATGTATAAGCTTGTAGAAGGAAATAGAAAAATAGTTCCTGCATATTTGAAGTACTCTGAGTGGTAATCAATGGCATGAGCAGAGTATTAATAACAATCTTCGGAAAGATATTGTGTCGTATCTGCAAATTTTTAATCCAAGAAACACAAATATTGAAAGAAAGGAAGGAATTTAAATTAGCGATTAAGATAAAATATTCGTTTGTTTGTTTAGAGTAAAGCCACATTGGACTATCTGATGTGTTCACCGCGGGGGATCGAACCCCGAATTTTAGCTTTGTAAGTCCCTAGAAATAAAATAAAAGGAAACAGGATAGTGAGCGCCACTTATATTGCCATGATCAGTAATTTCTGACGTAAGAACAATTATAATTAAAAAGTGGAATCGGGTAAAGATATTCGAAACCATTAAAATGGGTATTATTAGGTTTGTTTGTTTGTATTTAAGCACAAAGCTACACAATGGGCTATCTGTGCTCTGCCCACCACGGGTATCGAAACCCGGATTCTAGCGTTATAAATCCGCAGACATACCGCTGTGCGGTATTATCAGGAGTATATCATTAATAAAATAACCACTAGAAACGCTAGTTCTTGGAAAAAGTACGGTAATGTAGGATAGCAGAATTACGATTTAATATGGCGTTAACATTAGATTTATGGAGTTATCAAAATGGTGTGTGTACTTTCACTCTGTAGCACTCTGATAAAATGGTATGTGTATTCTCTCATCTTGCTACACCCTGAAAAAAAAGTGTGTGTGTGTACTTTCACTCTGCAGCACCCTGGCAAAATAGTGTGTGTGTGCTTTCACTCTGCAGCACTCTGATAAAATGGTATGTGTATTCTCTCATCTTGCAACACCCTGAAAAAAAAGTGTGTGTGTGTACTTTTACTCTACAGCACTCTGACAAAATAGTGTGTGTGTGCTTTCACTCTGCAGCAATCTTGCAAAATGGTGTGTGTGTGTATGTGTATGTATTTTCACTCTGTAGCACCCTGAATCTCTAGAAGCAGCACTTACAAACCAAATCCTACTCATGAAAAGCTGACTAAAGGATGAATAGCACGCAAATGAAGAAATTATAAGAAATTAATGTCGCGTTTTGGAACACTTTTATTACCCCCCTCCCAAAAAAAACGTACATCACATATAATAGTTAAACGAA